TCACAAAAAACTGGGCCCCTCTTTGGAGTAAAACAGACTAAATGCACACATATGTACATATGTACATGAAGTCAGAGGAAAGGAAATCAGAACTTAAAAATTAAAGTATCTTTGTGGTTTTCTGCAGCAAGAAATTTGAGATACTAATTTTAGATTTTGTCAAAGTATGCACGTTAAAAGTTTAAGGATAACCACTAAATGAATAGAAATCGAATGTTTAAGAAAACATGACTAATCTAATAAAAAGACAGAAGAAGAAGGGAAAAAAGGCACAGAGAAAACAAAACTCAAACTAAATGATAAAAATAAATCAAAATATATGGTAAATATAAATGGATTAACTCTAGCCCATTTAAGAGTCAGAGATTATCAGATTCGATTTTTTTAAATCTAGAAATACTCGTTTTATCAAAAAACACATTTATAATATTAAGATTAGAAAGTTAAAATTAAAAGAATGGAAAAAACAAATCAGGCAAAACCAAAATAAAGTCAGCTTTTCACATTCATATCAGACAAGGTAGATTTCTGTTAAAAAAAAATTAGGGTAAAACAGGATCACTCCGTAAAAAATACAACATATAATAATTAGAACACAGGTAAACCTAACAAAGTTGCCTCAAAACTTACAAATATTGTTAAGAGAAAGAGGTCAGTTATTGGTGGATGGAGCATTAAAAAATGTCATAAGATACAGAATATATGAGCAATGAAATTACCACTTAATTTAATGATTTAATGAGCACATATAAAACTACCTGTTCTGCAGAAAGGGACTATTCATTTTTTTCACACACAGAGAGTATTTGTAAAACATACTATGGATTATGTCATAAAGTAAGAAGAATCATACAACTCAAATCACATTTTTTAATCATCATGTCATAAAATTTTAAATTAATAAAAATATGATTTAAACCCCAAGGTGTGTGGGATCTATAGACAGAAATCCTCACATCGAAAAACCTCACAGGTCAAAGAAGAAATGCAATAGGAATATTGCAAATAAAAATAGTAGAATGCATTTGTAGCTTTAAATGTTCTTATCAGAATAAAAGAATGGCTAAAGATGAAAAAAAAAGGCATTCAAACCAAGAAGTTAGAAAAAAGGAACTACAAAGCAGTTCAAAAAGTAGAATGAATGAAACAACAAAAATATAAATGTAAATTAATGAAACAGAAAAGAAAAATATGCCAGTGAAGATCAACAAACCCCGAAGTCGGTCATAGGAAATGACACATGAAATAGACAAACTTTTAACAAGACTGATCAGGATCAAATGTACAAAGGAACAGATTAGGAACTAGAATGGGAACATAATTATAACAAAACAATGAAAATATGAACTTTTGCCAATAAATATGAACTTTTAGATGGACTGGACAACATCCTAGAAAAATGTAGTTTATATAAACTGACTTAAAAATAAATTTTGATCTAAAAAGACCTATACCTTTTAAGGATATTAATTCAATAGTTACAAAATAGACACCAAAATAATCTTAAATTAGGCCCAGGCAGTTTTGCAGGTGTAGTCCATCAAATACCCAAGGATTAGTTACTGGAAAAAGAAGAAATGTTCCTCAACTAATTTTATGAGGTTTTTTGCAATCTTGTGACTGACACCAGACAAGGAGAGTATAAAAGTACAACAGGAAAATTTAATTTATGAACCTAGATCTTAAAAATCCTAAATATCAAGGGAATGAGATTACAAACCACAGTCTGGGAGAAAATATTTACAAAAGATATCTGATGAAGGACTGTTATACAAAATCTGCAACAAACTTAAAACTCAACAAAGGAAAATGAACTACCCAACTAAAAAAGTGGGTAAAAAATATGAATAAATACCTTTGCAAAGAAGATACACAGATGGTAAACATGGAAAGGTGCTCTACATCATATCTCATTGGGAAAATGCAAATTAAAATGAGATACCACTATGCACTTATTAGAATGGCCAAAATCCAGAACACTGACAACACTAAATGCTCACAAGAATGTGGAGCAACAGGAATTCTCATTTATTGTAGATGGAGATGCAAAATGGCATAGCCACTGTGAAGAGAGTTTGGTAGTTTCTTACAAAGCTAAATACACTCCTACTACATGATCCAGCAAGCATACTCCTTGGTATTTACCCAAAGGAATTGAAAACTTATGTCTTCACAAAAACCTGCACACGGATTTTATAGAGATTTTGTTCATAATTCCCAAACCTTGGAAGCAACCAAGATGTCCTTCAGGAAGTATGCAATGGATAAACAAATCATGGTCCATCCAGACAATGGAACACTATTCAGTACTGAAAAGAAATGAGCTATCGAGCCATGAAAAGACATGGAAGAAAGTTAAATGCACATTCCTAAGTGAAAGATGCCACTCTGAGAGGCTACATACTGTGTGATCCCAACTATATGACCTTCTTGAAAAGACAAAACCATGGAGACAATAAAAGGATTAATGTTTACTGGAGTTTAAGGGAAGAGAAAGATAAATACACAGGTCACAGAAGGTTTTTAGGGCAGTAAAGCTATTCTGTAAGATACTGTAATGATAGGTACATGTCACTATGCACTGGTCCAAACCCTAGGATGTACACGACCAAGGGTGAGCCCTAATGTGAGCTGTGGACTCAGGGTGGCAGTGATGTGGCAGTGCAGGCTCATCGGCCGTAACCTAGGTACCCCTCCAAGGGGATGTTGTTAGTTGGGAAGGCTGTGCATGTGTCAGGGCCGGGAATATATGGAAAATCTCTATGCTTTCTGCTCAATTTTGCTGCGAACTCAAAATTACTCTAAAGACAAAGTCTATTTAAAAATGACAGGTTGGCAAAGGTATTGAAATTAATATTCCAGTTTTCAGAGTATACTTGTCTCTCTGCTTAAAATAGGGAGATCAATGCTGTCTGGCTCTCAAGCAGTAGAGATAACACATGATGGATAAATTAAAGAGATTTCTTTTATAGCTCTCCTTTCTAACAAACCTGGGGATAGCTACCTAAGAAGCTCATGATTTTCCAATGTTTTTCTAATTTCTGGAATAATAAAGCCTTCTTCAGAATCTCATGGGAAAAAACATCCTAAATAAAATACGGTTGACCCTTGAACAATGCAGGCGTTAGGGGCACTGACCCCCTGTGCAGTCAAAAATCCATGTATAACTTGACTTTTGACTCCCTCAGGACCTAACTACCGAATGCCTACTGTTGGTTTTATGGTAGTAAGTGATAAAAGAGACTAGTTATCTACATGTATTTCATACATTCATGACATGTATAACTTTTTCTTGTTTCTTTATTTCTAGGCTACATAGTTCATCTGCAAGTGTTTTCATATTGTTGCAAATCTCTATTTCTCCAGTGTATTTATTCAAATAAATCTACAGAAAAGTAGACTCACACAGTTCAAACCCATGTTGTTCAAGGGTCAACTGCAATGGCAAACACAGTCCATAAAGGTCTTTCAAAAATCTTTGTCAGGTTGTGTCTATTCCAGTAAAACAAGAATCATTTACCTCTAAAATATCTAATATTATAACTCACACATTCATATATTAATGGGAAAACTGTACGAACATTGCAGAAAATATAAGAAAAACATTTCAGCACTCATTTATGATTTTTAAAATTTAGCAAATTAGGAATTTAGGAACTTTTTTTCCCTAATTGAACACTGGCATCCATCAAAAGCTTACAGCAAACATCAAATTAATGATGCAACACTAGCAATCTTCCTTTGAAGACAGAAATAATACAATGATGCTCATTCCCACCACTGCCATACTGCAGTTTTCTGGAGGTTTTACCCATCACAGTGATAGGCGAATATATGAGAAGCACAAGATTTGGAAGGAACAGCAAAACTGTTATTATTTACAGATGAGGTGTTATATACAAGACAAGGGAACTGTCTACAAGACAACAAATTATTGGGATCATTATAATTCAATAAGGTCTCTACATATAAGATCAATCAAAAATCGAGTGTGTTCTTGAGTATCAGCAATGAAGAGAGAATGAATGAAAGGAGCAGAATAAATAGACTTGCAATACAGAAAAGTCCTCTCAGTCCGAAAGGGAGCAACAGTGAATGAACGCAGCTTAGTTATGAGGCTATTAATAGAATGTTTCAGATGAAGGTGACAGCAGTTCACACCGCATGATGAGCAAGGAGATGCTATAAATCAAAAGGAGTTGGTGATGGTTTCTATGGGAAAGAGGGAAGGGGGAAGAAAGACTTCTGGGTTCTGACTTGGGTAGCTGGATGGATGGTAGCACCATTTCTTGACTAAGTGACTAAGGAACACTGAAAGAAAATCTATTTGAAGAGAACGAAAATGAATTCATATTTTAGCCTGCTGATTTTGAGATCCAACAGGAAATTAAAACAGATGGTTATCCAGATAGGTGCTGAGAGTAGAACACTGCGCTGCCTTAGAGATAAAAAATGCAGGTCCTGTATGCATACAGGTAGAAATTGAAACCTGAGTGTAGATAGAATCATGAACTTGAATATTTAATAGCTAGGCAGGGGAAGGGTTTAGCGCATTTTGCAGAACAACTGAAGAATCTTTCAAAATGGTTCTCTCCTGGGAAAATTGAAATAAGATTTTCCAGTTACATAAAATTTAGTTCCAATGGTTCATGTAAAAATCCCCTCATGTTACCATTTCAATTCTGCCTGGCAAGGGTCATGGAAGCAATCGGGAGATAACAGAAAATAACAGGAAGAAAAGAAGATTCTCTTACGACTGGACGTGGATAAAGACGCAGCAAAGATACATCCCCTAGCCTTACATACTTGGACATTCTCAGAAATTCTCCTTTATAAAGGAGGGCCAGAGGAAGAAGTGCCACCTTCTTTTTGGGCACAATTAAGCAACAAAAATAAAACAAAACTGTGAACACAAACCCACAACCCCATCCTGAACCTATCTGTCTCTGACCATAGTATCTTCTCTTCTTATTCATCCCCTGACCCCAGTTAGAATTTACCGGATTCTATACTGTTTTGTCTTGTAGAGAAAGACTCCCGTTGGGTAGAGTTCCTTCTGATCTTCAGACCTCCCGTTGTCAGGCAGAGTTTGTCACAAACTCCAGAGACAGATAAATGTGATTCTGTTCATTGTATTTTCATTCCACCCATGGGTCCCTGACTCAATTTCCAAAGCAGTATCCTGGAAAAATAAGCATATGATGGGCCCTTTTCTCTTCCAGGAGGCCGGATCTGAAGCTGACTTCTGAATCACAGAATCTTAGCTCTCAAGACCTTCCCAGCCAGAAGAAAAGGAATAAATAGCCTTTGATTTTATAGCTGTCAGGCTATCCGGGCACAAAGTATAAGGTTCTTCAGAAGTCATGCCCATTTCTCATCATTTCTCAACAGAACTGGCTAAACAGGTTTTGATTTGTGATTCATAGTCACAGCTGGAACACCTTTCAGCTCCTATTCTATCTTAAATGTGCTGTAGGTAAAATATAACCATGAGTCAACAAGACAGATAGAAAAACACTTTAGGAACAGGGCCAAGTAGAAGGGCAGGGCCCCAGGAAGAGCCTGGAACTGCCTAGGTGTGGGGCTCATGCAACACCACCCCTGTATCAAGTATTACGTAATCCGAACTTGGGACAACCTTCACTTTAAAGATAAATAAAACGAAGAAATGTAAAATGCTAAATTTTATGTAAAAAATGTACATTGCAAAATGAATGACAATAACTTGCCCGAAACCTGTGTACGCCATTTCCGATTCCTCCCTGTGGACTACGTGAAGTGCCCGTAGGAGCAGAGATTGTATGACAGGAAGGCCAGCCTGTACATTTTCTCTATTACCCCAGTCCTGACACTCATTATGGCATTTCTTTACTTAATAGTGTTTCACAACATTTTTATTTACCTTTGTTCTTTCACACACAATACCCACAGGGCCAGCTTGTCCGGCCCCTGCCTATCTCCTTGGACCCTCTTAGTTCCCTAAGAATGGCCACATGGACCTCCATTCTGCACCTAGCAGGCCTGACTTACTCCCGTCTGAGGCCTCATGTGCTGCCTCTCCCCCGTCCCATCAGGTGTCTCCCCACCACGACAGACACACAGACGTCCCCTTGGAGGAAGGCCTCCCTACTAACTCTATCATATCCCATTTTATCCTGCTCGCAACTCTTATGGGTCCTTAAAACTGCCTTATTTTTCCATTTTTTCACATGTGCTTTGTCTGTGTCCCCACACTGCAGTAAGTCTCTGAAACTGGGGACTCTGTCTTACTAACCTGTCTATCCCAGCCCTTGAATCCAGAACCAGAAACTGCCTCCCCTGGGCTCCGGCACATATGCTTGTCCTTTCTCTGGAAGCTTATTTCTACCTTTTTTCCTGTCCGATGCTGACCTTTCTAGAGAATCATGGTCCATTTGGCACAAAAAAGTAGGCTTTGGGGTTTTATTTTTTAACCACTTCATGACCATCTTCATGAAGGCTACATTCTGGTTGTATCTGGGTCACAGCAAGATTGCGTAAAACCTAGAGAGGCACAGCCTCTGCAGCACTGAACGTGTGAAATGCACATGCATGTAGGACACGGTCTTCTAATTGGTGATCATGAGTCATACAATTTGGCCAGACTGATCTTACCACCGTGGCCATAAGGAAGTGCATATATGTATTTGGGGAAGGGAAATTTTCTCCACTTTCCCTCTTTCAACAAATGAAGGTGTTCAATGGTCTCCCTACCCTGGCAGGGCTCATAGTCTTGGTATCTCATCTTTGTTCACTAAAGATCATCCTGCTAGTTAGTTGTGGAAGTAAGATTTGGGCCTGTTCCAGTTACTAACAAGGGCATATTTAGGTCCACATGCCGCTTCCTCGTGCATATATGACAAAGGCCTGAACTCTCTCTGAAACATTCACATCAGTCAGCTGTCTCTGAATTGACAGAGACCCATTTAATATCTTCTACAAGAGGAAGGAGGTCCAAAAAAGAACCCAGCTAGCCCTTACCAGCACCTGAGAGCACACGCACTCACTAAAGTGTGTGTAATTCATTGTCTGGGTTTCCCAGCCAGCTTCCCATCAGCTGTCATGACTCACGGTTCCTGCATCTCAGCTACCTGCACCTCCGCCCACGGCACCTTCCCTTCCCTTGCTCATCTCACTCCCTGCCCAACAACCCATCTCAGAGTAATTCTTCTGACATATCCGTAGCACTTTCCTGAGTCTTTCAGACTGTCAGACTTTGAGAAGCCTCGGGGGCTCCCACTCACACCACCCACACACACACTCTTTTTATAGCTGTTAGCTCTGCCTGCAGTATAGACCAGGGTCTGCCCGCTTCTCACCACTCCCAGTGCCAGCACCCCGCTGAAGGCACCATTGGCTCTCACCTGGATCAATGCCGTCTCCTCCCCTCTGGACGCCCTGCGTCTGCCCTGGCTGCCTCGGTGCAGGTATTGTCCACACAGCAAACACAGGCAGCTTTTCAAAAGGTGCGTCAGATCTGTCACTTGGGAGGTCAGATCACACCAATGCTTTCTAGTCTCACTTCAAGTAAAAGCAAAGTCATTACAATGTCTGACAAGGGCCTGCACTGTCTTCCCCTCAGATTCTTCCGAACTCCCTCTTTCTTAGCCATGACTCATTCCACGCATGGCGTGCTTCAGTCCCGGCACTTGCTAATTTCTCTACCTGGAACCCTTTCCCCCAAATAGCTACGTGCCTCATCCCCCAATGTCCCTTAAGTTTTGTTCAAATATTACTGCTCAGTGAGAATGAGACGTCCTTGCAAAATTGTAAACACCACCATCATTTCTACCACTACTCAAGTTCTCTTTTACCATGGACCAAACCTTCTTTGTGGCTTCTCAGTTGAGAAGAGAAGTGATCCCTTCCTGGGCCCTGGCTTAGCAGTGGGGGGACCCCTACTCCAGCCACAAAGAGCAATGGATCTCGTAGTAGTGCTTCCCTCAGAAGCCCAGACGATCTTCAGGATACCAAAGTTATGAGAGATTTATGATCTAGTCACTATGTAAGTTAAAAAGTCATATCTATGTCCTCCCCTTTAAGAAAAATATGAAGATGGGAAAGTATCCACTTTACTCCCTCTCCCAGGAGAACTTTGTACTCCCCTTCTTATCTGCTCCTCACAGCATCTCTCCATGTTTGAGCACATTAGCAAATATTTCCTCAATAGCTGGGAGGCAGTAAGCTGACACCTGTAAAATGCCCGTGGAGTAGCACGACCCCTCCTATACATTATGTCATGGAAGAAAAAGGATAGTCTTCTCTCAAGCTTTGAGAACGATCTGACATTCCAGCTAAATTCTCCCTCATGGACATCCTAGATCCACACTCTTCAGTTCCACATATGATCAGTCAGGAGTAAAGAAGGCAAAGAATGGAAAACAAGAATGGTTAGATAGAGGAAGACAGAGGCACCCAAGAATCCAAGAGGCAGCCAGGAGATAGTTCTCAAGGAGCTAAAGGCATGGGACAAGGACCCAAGATTATTTGAGAATTCAATGATTATCTGAATCCAGATGTATGTTAGTTCATTTAATATAGCAGCCTCTTGAGGTAGGAATATTTAGCCTGAAGCTTAATATAATTTGTTCCAAGTTACATCCAGGAAACTGGTAGAACTAGGCTCCAAACCCACAGCTGTCTGGCCCCAAATCTTAAACATTTTCTGCTCAGTGTGCTGCCTCCAGGGCCCAATGCTGTGCCTGCCAGGGGAGAGGTTGGACCTGGAGAGATGATGCCATGGACCTCCTGGACCACTGCTCAAGTGGGATCATTCTTACTTAGGGCAAGGACGTTACCCCTGTTATCCGACCCTTGGGTGGATTCAAACACTCAACTTCAGCAGTAATGTACACTTAAAACATTAATGGATTAGTTGGCTTCTTGGCTGAAAGTTTAAAATGAGTAGGACGTTTGGGGCAAAATAGTACTTAGCCATTCCACTTCCCACCTAAGCTTTCTCCAGAGTGATTGCTTAGCTAAACCTAAGAAAACCTTCCTTTCCCCAGAAACTTCTGTGACAGACCCTTTTCCATTCAGTGACACTGTGGTCCAGAAGCAGAAGGCTCGGGTGGATGTAAATGTTGGGCTAAAAGCATGTGTTGGGGGAAGCTGCTGCGTCCCACGAATACCCATGAAAAGCACAGACAGCAAAGGCAAACCCAGACAAGCGGGACTGCATCAGACTAAAAGGCTGTTTCCTTCTGCACAGCAAAGCAAACAACCAGCAGAGGGAAGAGACAACATATGGAATGGAGGAAATATTTGCAAACTCTCTGACAAAGGGTTACTATCCAAAATATATGAAGAACTCATAGAAATCAATAGAAAAACAATCTATTTAAAATATGGGCAAAGGATGTGAATAGTTCTTTTTCCAAAGAAGACATACAAATGTCCAATGGTACATGAAAAGGGTTCCACATCACTAATCATCAGGGAAATTCAAATAAAAACCACAATGAGGTATCATCTTACACCAGTAAGAATGGCTATTATCAAAAAAAGAAAGAAAGAAATAACAAGTGCTGGCAAGGACGTGGAGAAAAGGGAACCCTTGTGCACTGTTGGTAGGAATGTAAACTGGTGCAGCCACTATGGAAACCATTATGGAAGTTCCTCAAAAAAAATAAAAATAAAAATAAAACTACTGTACGATCCCATAATTCCACTTCTAGGTATTTATCCAAAGGAAATGAAGTCACTATCTTGAAAAGATATTTGCACTCCCATGTTCTTTGCAGCATTACTTAAATAGCAAAGACATGAACACAAGCTAAGCATCCATGGATAGATGGACAAAGAGGTTGTGGTATGTATAACAGTGGAATATTATTCAGCCATTAAAAAGGAAATGCTTCCATTTGCAACCACATGGAAGGGCACTGAGAGCCTTATGTCAAGTGAAATGTCAGACAGAGAAAGACAAATTCTGCATGGCATTACTTAAATGTGAAATCTAAAACAACAAACTCAGAACCAGAGAACAGACTGATGGCTGCTGGTGGCAGGGTGGAGTGAGGCTAGCACAATGGGTGACAGTGATCAAAAGACCCAAACTTCCAGTTATAAAATAATTAAGTCCTGGGGTATAATACACAGCACATTACTACAGTTAACAATATAGTTAACAATGACTTACTGTGTGTCATTTCTCCTGTGTCCCCTCCTCCCTTGTCCACTCCCAGTCCTGCCATCCTGCTAGGTGATTTCAAATTTCATGTAACAAAAGCACTGAGATCAGGAATTTGCCCAATAGCAAAGATTAAGTAAGTGTTCAATGGGGAGCAAGAGCCCACTAAGGAGACATTTCCTGATACCTGAGGAGCAGGACCCCA